ATCCCAGGATCCTGGGATCATGACCCGAGCCGAAGGCAGACGCTTAACTGACTGAGCCACCCATGTTCCCCAATAAATAAAAATCTTAAAAAAAAGTTAAAAGAAGATTTTTATTTATTTGAGAGAGAGAGCACAAATGGGGGAGCTGCAGAGGGAGAGGGAGAAGCAGGCTCCCCACGGAGCAGGGAGCCCGATGCGGGGCTCGATCCCAGGACCCTGGGATCACGACCTGAGCCGAAGGCGGATGCTTAATGGCTGAGCCACCCAGGCACCCCTGTTCTGTTTTGATAAGAACTCCTATCACACATTACCAGAGCCTAAGTTGTAGTAATACATAATATTTACTGTGAAATTGATACACTTCCTTCTTTGTGAGAAGCAATGGCTATAATGAAACTTTAATTCATAGTTCACTCTAGAACCATAGGCAAGGACTTTACCCATAAATTCATTTGTAGTGAATGAATGTCTCGAGCACCCAATATTCACCAGCACCTGAAACACCCCTTAGTCCTGCACAGTTGTTTTTTTCTAATTGTTATAATTGAAGTATAGTTGTCATACAATATTTTATTAGTTTCAGGTGAAAGAAGAGGTTGGGTATGTGTGTGTATGTGGTGTGCGTATGTGTATATGTGGTGTGTATGTGTACGTAGTATGTGTGTTTGTATATGTGGGGTGTGTGTGTGTGTGCGCGTGTGTTAGTATGGAAGTAGACACCATGGGAAATTTATCAGCAAATACAGGCACCCAGAGTTAGCCAAAAGTAATCCATTCCTAAAAATCCAGCTAACAGATTTTCAGATAGTGGGAACCCAATCTCACATTTTCTAAATAGGAAAAGTAAGAATACACTTCTAATTTGCGTTAGTCCACTGAACTACGTATTTTCTAGCGTTTCAAAAATATTATCCTGTGCTCAGGTAGTAGAGTGAAGCTTTACAGGCCTAACAGTAGCTCCTAAGTTACCTTGATTTTCCCATGCAGGGAAAAACTAATACACCTGTGCCCGACCACACTTATGTCTGCTGTATATTTATGTCTTTCCATAGGCTTTATTGCTTCCAACTTTTCTTCTGCAGAAGGAAAGACTACTTGGGCTCACCCTTTGCTTCATAGCCCGGCACATTTTTCAGAAGGTGTTTTCACTTAATAATCTGGGGAAGATAAGAAGCAGCACTGTCCAGCATGTTTAAACAGCACACACGGGAGACGCAATGCTGCTTCCTGGGGCCAGAGCCTCGTCTTCTCCCGGGGACAGGGGGCAGCTCGAGCATTTTCACTGGCTCATGCCTGCCATTTCCGTTCAGAGGCTTACAGCTCCAATAGGAAAGGCAGGGCCAACATTTGATAAATCCATGAAAAGTATTTGGAAGGGACAGTTGCATTAGTGAAGACCCAGCAAACCAGCAAAGTGAAGAAAGTTATTTCCTAAGGATTCCCGGTCTCCATGGAATTTTGAGACAAACTGCAGAGTGGCCTATGAATGATGTTCTCTGTGGAATTAGCCCGGGTTTCGCAGACACCTACATCTGACTGTATTATTTTTAAAAAGATGGAGCATGAGGAGGATTTCCATTTGAAGGGCAAGAGAAAAACAGAAATCCAATGTTTGTTTGAATGAGAAATGGCTCTTTAATCATATCATTGCAGTGTTCAGAGAGGGAGAGGGAAAGATTCTTCTTTCTAGTTAATTATCATTTAATGGCCAGTAGATTATTTTGCATAAACTAATATGCAACACTATTTAAAATCTCCCAGTAGTATTAATTAGTTCTCTCGTTTAAAGACTTTAATCACGCTATTTTTCAAAGAAGAAATAAGAAGTGAACTTCGTGCAATGTGCTGACCATCAAGAAATCACACATTATTTTAAGCAGAATGAGAGATGTCCTCACAGACCCCCCAGGGCTAGAGTAGCGCAGTGACCTTGGCCTTACCCTTTGATCTCAAGGCTTCTAATACCTTTGAGTCTGCGGTCACATCACTCACTAGCTTGATTTCGATATTTTGCGAAGTCAGCTGGAGCAACTTTTCGAAAAGACGTTGACCCTAGAAAAAAATATTCAGAGACGAGGAAAGTCAGAAAACCTACAGTATGCTCTTTTAAAAAAAGTATAAATAAACTTATTAAAAATTAAAACTATTCATTCAAATTTTAAAAGGCAACCACTTCAGCAGTTGATATTCATGGAAACTTCTTTCAAGAGAGTTCTAGAACCGGAGTAGTAACACGAACGCAGATTACATTATGTTTTCTCGAGTGCTGTGCGATTCAACAATTATTGTAATCCCAAGTTCAATGCTACAGTGCAAATCTACCCTTCTCTTACTTTTCCATGAATTCTGACGTTATCTACACGTGAAGAGGAAGCAGAGAATATTATACAGTTGTGTTTGGGCCCAGAGAGACCTGGATTCCACCTGGTTTTCCAATTTACAAGTTGTGCCTCTTCTTCTCACTAATCTCCAGCTTCTTCCTCAGTAGAACATAGATAAAATTAGCATTTACTTTAAAAGGTTTTTTTGTGTGTGAGAATTAAAGGAATTAGTAGTAGGTAAGTATCCTTTCAGTGGAAGCTCTGATGGGGAAAGTCATGGCTACTTATCAGGGATTTGCCTGAATTCACCTTCTGGTTTAAAACCCGTTTTACAGAAATCAACTAACACTCTGCCTAGCAATCTGTCATTCCTAGCACAAACCAAAAATGACTGGAATAAAAATACAAAATAAAACATAAAGGTTTCACTTACGTAAGATTTTCACAAGCATTAAATTTTTATAGAAAATTTTAATCTCCGGGAGACTCTGCGTAGAGGTAGGTCCTTAGCAATTACACCGTCTCAGGCTAGTGGACCCCAACCCTATCCTGTTTATTTTCCCTTGTGTGTGTTCACAGACTCCCTCTCCTTATCATAAAAGGAATTGGTCTTCATTTATTGATTTTTCAGATCTTTGTTATTCAGCCACAAACTCAAATGCCTTCCGGCGTCAGACAGGCAATAAGGCTTTGGTCTTAATGGCCCCCAGGTGGCAAAGTCTTATCCTGCTTTGATAAGAATGGCCCATTAATAATGATGCGGTACAAAGGATGGCGGAGGGCATGGAGGATGTGGATGTAGCGCATGATTCCTGCACTTCAGCCTCAGAAAACAGAGGAGCCAAAGATTAAAGTCTAAGACTTTGGAAGGTAAGGACAGCGAGCCAGCATGGCAGTTCCTAGGGCCACATAGCAGGGGGGAGCGCCTGCATAATCCAGCCCTGCACAGACAAAGCTCTGTCATCCCTGGGTACCGGAGGGGAGGGTGGGAGTTGCACCCCAAGGCAGGCACCAAAGCTTCCTTTTCCTTTAACTAAGTGTGGAAATCAAGGGTGCCCAAAGTGGAGCTCAGGAGGTACTCTGCACCCAGAGCCTGGAGGCAGGCTCCCAGCAGAGCAGGTGCTCCGGGGAGGTGTGGAATGAGTGCAGCAGGCTGGTGTCCACTACTCATTTAAAAGAGATGGGGGAGGGGTAGGCAAGAAAGAGAGAAACACTCAGAGAGGCAGAGGACAGAAGAAAGAAAACAGCAGCTGCCTTGCAGATTGCAGGGTCTACGTGGATTTCAAGTTTCCGGCAGGAGAGGGGAGGGCCCTGGCAGCCAGGGGCCCCAACACAGGCCGAGAGGGACCTCCAGGTGGCGGGGCAGTGTTGTTCTCCTGCGGGGTTATCGCCAACACGACCTTCCTTGTCAGCTCTCGTACCCCACCGACTTGCGTACTATAATCTTGTCACACACCCTTGGAGGCTTGGTGATGTCTGCATGGCCCAGATTTCTGGAGCCCAGCCTCGTGGTCATTCCACAGTCATGCAAACTGTTCACTGTTTGTATTCTTCCCCTTCACACAGAGAAATAGCTTATGTGCTTTGTGTTTCGTGAGACCCCACCAGTAATGGGCCGGTATTTTTACACAAATGCATTTTTTTTTTCTCTCTCTGTTAATATATTTCGCACCAATGAAACATAAGAGATCTTCTAACTTATCTGTATTTCTGGCTCTGTGCCTTAAATCGATTCCCACTATGTTATTTTTATAAGATTTAAAATGAAGACCAGAACTCTCAAACATGGATGAAAATAGAAACTCCCAAATTCACAGATACTGGCAGACTGTCATTAAATAAAGCTTATTTTTCCTATTAGTATGTGCTGATGACTTACACCAAGGATTTTTAAAATTGTTATTATAGTGCTTACTGTAATGAACTTGGGCCTTGGGGGGAACTTCTCCCCTGTTTTCAGTATCTTACCTTCCTGTCTACACATTTTTGCTAAGACATTCGGAATGTAGTAACCAAGGTTTGAAACATCTACTCTATGCCGAGATCTGCAGTAAGGGCTAACTGCTTTCCGAGTTAAATACTCTCACTGTGTTTTCATAAAGGAATAAAAAGCCCCTTGGCTTTTAAACATCAGAAACTCTTGAACAACATGGGTTTGAACTGCATGGGTCTACTTATCTGCAGATTTTTTTCAATAAATTCGGTATAGTGCTGTAAATATGTTTTCTCATCCTTATGATTTTCTTAACATTTTTTTCTTAGCTTACTTTAATGTACATATAACATACAAAATATGTGTTAGTTGGCTATTTCTGTTATCAGGCCTCTGGTCAACAGGAGGCTCTTAGTATTAAGTTTTGGGGGAGTCGAAAGTTATATGCAGATTTTTGACTATGCAGCGGGTTGGCGCCCCATTAACCCCCGTGTTGCTCAAGGGTCAACTAATTTAAAAACTTGCCCTTCCTGGTGAGAAACATTAGGTAACATTTCAAACTTAAATAAATCATCTTGAAGACAGTCAGTGGCTGAGGCATGTTGAGCAATTTAAGCCAATTAAGCCCAGGCAGCCTGCCTAGGGGTTGGAGTATGAAGTATTGAGGGGAACTAGTTAACCACCTAATACTTCCCCTCCTTCACCTAAAAGGAAGAAGCCACTAATAATCTGAAAAAGTCAAATATCGATGTATTTAAGGGGCCCAACAAGAGAGAAGATGCTTGAACGCACTGGGCACTTGATGATACAGGCTACTCGAGAAGACAGAGCTAGAGCTAAAACACAATGTAAGTACTCAAGGACAGACAAGTATGGCTGGGACTGACGCTCTATGATTTTATAATTAAATTAGAAGAATAATTAAAGAATAGCATGGCCACTGTTGAGACCCAAATTAGTGGTCTGAAAATCTAACAGGAGAAATATTTCAAAGCACACACATGCACGCACACATACACGAAAACATAAGGCTGATAAGGGAAGAAAGGGTGATAGATAAATTGAGAATATATAACATGTGGCTAATAGATGTGTTGGAAGAAAACAAGAGGCAGAAAAAATAAGCTTTCAAGTAACAGAAGAGAAATCGTCCCACTTGAGGAAAGGCCCAAATCTACATGTTGAAAAGATAATTGAAGATGAAGGCAAATGTAATGTGGAAAGACATATTTAGGCACATTCTATGAAATCAATCCAACACCAAGGAGAAAGAGAAATTCTTACAAACTTCTGGCCAAAAACAAAACAAAAAGAGTTATCTCTCGAGCAAAATGGATCAGATGGGCATGGAGCCAGTGATCTGCAACACTAAGCCAGGACATGGTGGCCTCAGACTCTGGAAGAACAAACTCGAGCAAGGGAATGCTTTACCCAAAGATTTTACCTGCCAGGGTCAAAAAAGAGAAATATTTGCAGATGTATACACATTTAGAGACTATATTACCTACATGACCCATATGAGGAACATATTCGAGGAAAGACTCTAATCAAATAACACTACCCACCATTGAGGACAATGAAGGGGAGAAGAACAAGGGATGAGCAACAGGATATGGATATGTGTTTGATGTACCTGATAAAGAAGGATTCTTGAAATAGAACAGACACAAGGGAAGTTCTACTGCTCTACTGAGAATCTATTACGTGATTCTCAATGGGAGGCGCTATTACCCAAAAGGGGCTGAGTTGGTTTGTGTGTGTGTGTATAAGTTACTCTTTTTATAAATAAAACACATATATACATACAAGAAATATGCAATGTATCTATGGTATTAAAATCTCACGGGGTGGCAGGTTTAGGAAAAAAATGTCTAAAAAGTCTCCCTTAGTAAGGTGACAATTAAGAGAAGGTTGAGAAACACTGACCTACAGCCAACAGGATAAAGAATCTCAGTAAAAATGAGAACGAGTTGGGAGGGCTTAAAAGTGCTAGATGGGAAAGATAGGGCCGTATTCTGTTATGGCACAATTTATGAAGCAGTGACAGTTGCCAACTGGTATGTGCCAAACAACACAGCAGCTAAATATATAAAGCAAAACTAACAGTAATGAAATAAAACACTACCACAATATAATGTTTCAAAATAGGCCTCTCAGAAATGGGTAGATCTAATAAGGAATAAATGAGAATATATGAAAATTAAATAATAATTTCAATAAACCTGATTATGTGTATACATTTATACATATTTCTCATTCTATACGTCAAATCCCTCAAAACAACTGTTTGTCCTTAGAACATTATAAAAATCTGTCCTGTAATGGCCATTAAGAAAACCCAAGAAGACCAGTTGAAGGGAGATATTCTACCAGCTTCATTCTTTGCTCATAATCTAAGAAAATGAGAAACAGACCATTAACGTGTGACACATAAAACAAATCATATCTAGGGTGCCTGGGTGGCTCAGTTGGTTAAGCGACTGCCTTCAGCTCAGGTCATGATCCCGGAGTCCTGGGATCGAGTCCCACATTGGGCTCCCGACTCAGCGGGGAGCCTGCTTCTCCCTCTGACCCTATCCCCTCTCATGCTGTTTATCTCTCTCTCTCTCAAATAAATAAATAAATAAATAAATAAATAAATCTTAAAAAACAAAAACAAAAAAAAAAACAAAAAAAACCCAAATCATATCTACTTGAAAATTTAAAAACTCACTCTTAGATCATCTGTACATCACAGGAGAAAAGAAAAGTGAATTTCTGCATTCTCTAGA